ATGTACTCGCTCATTATATACATTTAGCAAATTTTGAACACAGAAAAAGTTACATAGTGCTGCTTTAAAGGCGGGGTATGTGATTTTTCAAAAACACTTTAGAAAACTAAATCGGGCCGAATAGCAAAGCAAACTTGTAGCCAATCAGCAATAAGGGGCGTGTCTACTCGTCTCGTGATGTGGAGGAGAGAGCTTTCAGTGCATGGGACGGACATTAGCTGAGCCGAGCGACAGAAAGATAGAGATGGCGGATAAAAAACAAAAGAGGAAAACGTCTGCGGAATGATAAGGCAAGAAGTAGGACCCGTGTAAATATCGGATCAGCTTTCCAGCGCTGGAGAGAACTCAAGGAGCGGAGGCCTGCGATCGGACGCCGAGGTTGCTATGTTTCTTCTCAGTAGGTGAGTAACACCGTGTCTACAACAGCTAAAGTCTGCCTACACTGGACGCGATCAAACGACCGTTGAAAACCATTTGAAATTTGTGTCAGCACGTCATAAATAAAACCCGGCAGCAGTTTCCTTGCCGCGCCGCTCACGTCCGTAGACACGGTGTAACATTGGTTTTGCTTTGTTTCACAGAACTAATCGTTGCCTGGGTTGCTACGTATATGTGGGGCGGAGCTATCAAAATAGGGGCAAGACCCTTTTGGGGTAGGGGCGTGTTTGTTTTGGTGATTTCAAATATCAACATTGGCTACCAGAAATCGCTTACTCTGCCTTTAAACCGCATAAACACATTTCATTACACCAAATACACAAAATAATGTTCTTTTTAGCAGCATCATATAATTCCACCTTTAATGTGTTTGAAAGACAAAGGCCTTCCAAAGACATTAAATAATATACTGAGTGATAATTCAACTAAAACTTCATGTGTTCATCAGTAGTTGAAGCAATGTTGAAACACCTGAACTAGTGACTGATCTCTGTGTGAATGTCCACAAAACTGGCTCTTTCAGAAAGGAACATTTAAAAGATGAAAAAGCGGAATTTGGGAGAAACAATATACTGTATTGTGAATAATTTGCTGCTATTGTGTGAATAATATGTAATCATGCAGTCAATAAAAAAGTAACTGTAGTCTGATTGATTACGAGTATTATAAAATGTAATTTAATCTAATTACAAGTACTTAATTTTTGGAATCTGATTAAGCAATCCAGATTACATGTAATCAGTTACCAACTGGAAGTCGTGGCCTAATGGTTAGAGAGTCGGACTCGTAACCCAAAGGTTGTGGGTTCGAGTCTCGTACCGGCAGGGATTGTAGGTGGGGGGAGTGAATGTACGGCGCTCTCTCCCACCTTCAATACCACGACTGAGGTGCCCTTGAGCAAGGCACCGAACCCCCAACTGCTCCCCGGGCGCCGCAGCAAAAATGGCTGCCCACTGCTCCGGGTGTGTGTTCACGGTGTGTGTGTGTTCACTGCTGTGTGTGTGCACTTTGGATGGGATAAATGCAGAGCACTAATTCCAAGTACGGGTCACCATACTTGGCCACATGTCACGTCACTTAAAACTCTGATTACATACCATACATATTGTATGGTACCTTGGAGAAATAAATACCATGGTAATCATTCATTACCATAGTATTTCAAAGTACAATGTAATATCAGCACTGTACTGTTATATTTGCATTCCCCTTGGACATATATAAAGAAGCATTAACCTGTGTTTGAAGCGCGTGCCATTGTTTTTACATTGTTTACAACCACGTAAAGGCAAGCTAATGTGTATCCATTTATCTTTCCACCTCTGTCACACTAGATTGCACATTCAGACTTATGAAATCCAGTTTAAGGATTAACTGCCCTTGTTGGTCAACATTAAACCTGAGGCACTTTGACCATTTGTTATATCCAGCGTGTTACACTAATAAAACCCCAAGAAACTCACGTACACGCTATTAATCTTGCTTCTAAAGCACGTATGAGTGCATAACTCAAGAGTTTATGCACAATCACACCAAGATTTATCACAGCCATCTAAGTGTGTGTGCGCGAGTCCTTCATAAGCACTTTCCCTGAGGAGTGTACACAAAGAATCGGTTGTGTCACAGAAACACCACACACAGTGTGAAATCCAGTGCTCTGATGAATGCGTCCAAAGGTTAAGGACTTACATTCTGCATTGTTAAAATCCACAAGTTCTCTACTGAAAAACGTTTAAACAATGCAACGGGATTTTATGCAATTAAAGAGGTAGTCTGTCCAAAAATGAAAATTGTGTCACCATTTTATGCCTTTTTTCTTTTGTGGAGCACGAAAGATGATATTTAACCAAACCGTTTCGGCTTCCATTCACTTCCTTAGTACTCTATTGTCTATAATATGGAAGTCAATGGGACCCAAAAACATTTGGTTGCCGACATTCCTCAGAATTTTAATTTTTGGGTAGATGATCCCTTTATATGGCATATATGGTAAAAGCACAAAACTGAGTGAGAATCAGCACTACATACAAAAATTGAGTTTATTTATTAATTTATTGAACCATTTTGTGTCCAAAAGGACCAGCATGCACAATGACACACAAGTCAAATGGACTACATTCAAAAATATGGGTAAGTGTCAAATGGGTGACCAGCATGAACTGTTTTCATATTTCCGATAAGCAGAAGTAAGCTACTGCAGGGTAAACTTCTGGTGTATATGGGAGACCATTGCAAATACAATTTTTCATTACCAATTGCTCAAACAGTGAGAGAAAAAAAATCCACTGTTGCATTCCCACAACTTTTCAGAATATGACAAAAACAGATTGAAGTTATAGCAGAAATGAGTCATTACAGTCTCTGATAAGAGTCCATTAGTCGAATGCCGTTTTAAAAGCTTCTACATGCAACATATCAATACATTTACTAACAGCTCGAGTTAGCAGCTAACTAGTCATATTACAGGTCACGTCCTTTAAGGAAGACACAGAAATCAACGGCTTTAACCTTCACAATTCACCATGAAGTTTTAAAGTAACGGACTACTGCAATAAAATACATTCACCTGACCGTGACCTTCCTATGGTTAAACATTTTACACACAAAACCAGTTTTAAAATCACATAAAACATCTCCCTGTACACAGCGGCTGCAGCTGCATTGTAAACAAACATCAATAATCAATTCATTCCCTTAATACGCCCTAAATAACGCCCTGATAAGCTACCACTAAATATTGTAAACTTAATTTGCTGTAAAGTTGCTTTGCAATGATTTGAGAGTCCATTAGTCGAATGCCGTTTTAAAAGCTTCTACATGCAACATATCAATACATTTACTAACAGCTCGAGTTAGCAGCTAACTAGTCATATTACAGGTCACGTCCTTTAAGGAAGACACAGAAATCAACGGCTTTAACCTTCACAATTCACCATGAAGTTTTAAAGTAACGGACTACTGCAATAAAATACATTCACCTGACCGTGACCTTCCTATGGTTAAACATTTTACACACAAAACCAGTTTTAAAATCACATAAAACATCTCCCTGTACACAGCGGCTGCAGCTGCATTGTAAACAAACATCAATAATCAATTCATTCCCTTAATACGCCCTAAATAACGCCCTGATAAGCTACCACTAAATATTGTAAACTTAATTTGCTGTAAAGTTGCTTTGCAATGATTTGTATCGTGAAAAGCGCTGTACAAATAAACTTGAATTGAACTGAATTAAATAAAGAATCAAAATGAAAAAACGGTGTCAGTAAACAATTTCAAGTTTGTACTATCTGAAAGGTGAAAATATGGGTTTGTTGTGCAAAAAAAAAAAAAATCCTTGATTCCTTGATTCCTCTTCCTGGGAATCAGCTGCTCACATGGCGTCCTTGATGAGATCAGCGAGTCTCCTAAAAGCCTGTGGATGAAGAGGAAAGAGCCATAAATGACAAAGTAAGCCCTTATTCTGAAGTACAGATGAATATCAGATGCGTTCTATTAGTGGTCAGTATATGCTATTAGCAGGCATAATATAAAACAAGTTTCTGATTTGAAATGCTGTGTATATACAGTAGGCAGCAACATGATAAAACACAAGCGAGATCAAAAAATCCTGTTTCCAAAAGATATGAAGCAGCACAGCTGTTTTCAACATTGATAATAATCATAAATGTGTCTTGAGCAGCAAATCAGCCAATTAGAATGATTTCTGAAGATCATGTGACACTGAAGACTGCTGAAAATTCAGCTTTGCATCGCAGGAATAAATTACACTTTACAATAGATTCACATAGAAAACAGTTATTCTAAATTGAAATAATATTTCACAATATTACTGTTTTTACTGTATTTTTGATCAAATAAATGCAGCCT